ATTATATGCATCTTATGCCAGGCTTAGCTATTTTATGTCATAGTCCTCATACTATGATTATCATGTACTTTGCATAGCATATTATATGTTTCCACATCTTTACTTAGGTTATTCTATGCATATGTTATGTTTTGTATTGTTAACTTATCATATCATTTGCATTGTTTACTTTGGCATGCATCATGTTATACTTGCATTTCTAGCTTAATCATATATAATCTTATTGTTTTCATGTCATATTTAGGTACATTAGATGCTAAGGCAAGCTTTGGTAGCTCAAGGACAATGGATTCATGTTATGACATCTTGTGATAGCTCAAAGGCAACAAAGGATAGCTCACCTAGCTCGGAGGAAGCTCAGTGCATAAGATGAGAAGCTGAACTAGCAAAAGGATAGCTCGAGCATAACTAAGGAGCTGAACGAGGAGCTGAAACTAGCTAGAGAGTAGCTGAGGACCTAGTAGCTGAGCTGAGGACTACAAGAAGCTGGAGCGTAGCTGAGGTGGTAGTTGAGTAGCTGGAGTGTCAATAACTAACTAGCTTGAGTCTACCTAGCTACTACCCACCTATTTAGCTACCTAGATACTTACCTTTACACCTAGCATGAGTCATGTGCCTAGCATCCACCCTTGGCCGAGACATCATCATCCTATGCGTGGAGAACTCATGTGACATCAAGGAGAGAGTCATGTGCATACAACACCATGTGCTTACCATGTGACTTCATTAGGCACCAATCATCCAAAAGACTCCAACTATTTGGCCAAGCCTTGTGACCACTTATTTAGACACCAACATAAAGCATCACCAAGACTATTCAACCAAGCCTTGTGTTCACTCATTTAAACTACATCAAGGCCGAACCATCATTTCTATTCAGCCATATACATTATCAAAGGCTTGTCGAACCAACACCATGCTTATTCATCTTAGGAGATTTATTTTTTCATTGAAAAATCATGTAAGTTCATAAGGGAAGCACCTTTTCTGAATCCTCTTGTATCCATTTGGCCTTCCCTTTCATTTTCTATATAAGCCAATGCCTTGGCTAGTTGTAAGGTATCCCCTTTTGCTTAAATCAAATCATGAGAATTTTTTCTTTGTTAAGTTCTTCTTGAATTCTATAGACTTATCAAGCCCTTGTGCTTGTGGCGTCCATCCTATTCTTTTGATCTTGATACTTGTGTTTCCTAGTTCTTTTATAACTAGAAGGGCTAAGTCCTAATCACCACCTGAACTTTGAATCTATAAGATAAGGAGCTTTGCTCTTTAGCATTGAATTTATCTTCTTTCTTAGTTCATACTATCCATCAAATGGCCATCTTTCTTCTTAGCCATCGCTACACCAATCTTAAACTAAACAACCCACACTACAGCAAAACTGTACATTTGCGGCGTTTTTTTACCTATAGTGGCGTTTTTAAGCGCTGCAAAAAACACCTGCGGCACTATGACAAACGCCGCAAAAAGCGCCACTGAAAATAGCGTCGCTAAAGTTCGCGGCGTTTGGTAACAAAAAACGCCGCAATAGGTAACGATATATAGCGGCGTTTATCTAATAAACTCCGCAATAGGTGTTGATATTTAGCGGCGTTTTTTCAACAAACGCCGCAATAGGTGTTGAGATTTAGCGGAGTTTTTCCCACAAACGCCGCAATAGGTGTTGAGATTTAGCGGCGTTTTTCCCACAAACGCCGCAATAGGTCTTGAGATTTAGCGGCGTTTTTCCCACAAACATCGCAAAAGATCTGGTATATAGCGGCGTTTTTTAGAACAAACGCCGCAAAAGATCATATCTATAGCGACGTTTTAAGATACAAACGCCGCTAATTACCTCTCTATAGCTAAAAGAAATTGATTTTGCAAATTAAACTAATTTGTCAAATGTTGTTTTCTACTCTTTTATTACCCAATTTAACCTGTAGCATTTTCCAATAACTTGACATCCATAACAACAAACTTAAAATCCATAACAAGAAAAATGAATCCATAATAATAAATCAAAGTTTACATTAACGTAAAATATAATGTAGTTCAACATTATTAACTATAATAAACAATAATATCTAAGATATTTTGCTTCTAATCTTACACATTCTTCAAAACTCTTCGTCACAATGAGGCGCTTAAATTCAAAGAGATAAATCCAGTTTATATGGGAAAACAATGATGCAGAGCTAGTATCGTCCTGTCATTTCTTGCACAGATATTTTGCTTCATGAGGTCTTACTCCAATTGGCATGCCACTTGAAAAGGCCCCATCCATGGCATTGCATAACTTGGAACTAGATCTTACCAAGTTCAAGGATTGGTGGAGCAATTTCAAAGCTTGAAATGCCACCTGATATTAAATAATGAAAAATTAGAATCTTGAGAGCAAACATAACTTGGTAAAGAAGAGGGCAAAGTGACCCAAATTCAGTAAGATTTTCTAATTGTTGATGTGCCATTGGTCCATTGCATTAATTTACTTTATGCAAATAAAATATAGGAACTTGACTATACATTCAACCTTCCGTTTACAAAATGACTTTCAGAGTATTGCTCCTGACCGTTTCGGAAAGATTCCAAGTCATTGCCAGAGTCGTCTAACCGACGCTCATAAAATGAACTTGAAATGCCTTCTTTACAATAGATCCCTATATTAGTAAAAAGATGGCAGACACCCTACATTACATGACAAGGTTAGTGCCATAAATATAATCTATGCTTAAACAAAAGCCCATCATACTCTACATTCAACCTTCCGTTTACACCTAAAGTGAATCAAAATTAATTGGAAAAAAATTATAGATACTTAAAAGAAAAGCACAAAACAAGGGCTTTTAACATTTAAGTATAGCATAAGTGAGGAATGTATCTAAATTCCACTTGAACATCATCAGTAGAATGTTAATTAAATTCCACTTGAACATCATCAGTAGAATGTTAATTAAATTCCACTTGAACAGCAGCAGTAGAATGTTGATTAAATTCCCAACCGTTCAATTCTTTACTAAGAATATGCATCCAACTATCAATATCAGGATATGGAATGATAGGTATGTAATTCATTTCATTTGACCAGAAGTGAATATAATGTTAATTAAATTACCAAATTCTTCTATAAACATATGCATCCAAACATCAATATCAGGGTAAAGAACGACAGATTTATACTTCAATTCAATGTCCAACATGAAGCCCATATGGTGATGATACCAACAATAATGCTCTATCTCTATAATGATTCTTGCCCATAATTTAATATACATCTTAAGCATAGCAAACAAATGATTATTCCAACAAAACCATATAATTACAATTCAATACATGATATTTATAGTTTACGAGGCAATAAAGAAATACCTCAAAAGTCAGGAGGTTGAAAGCATGTATTTAACGGCGAAGAAACATCCCCAGTCAATTGCAAATGTTTCAGTTATGGGAGTCATGGCATCTTTAGCTTTTTTCTCAGTGAGCTCAAGTGCTCCAGCTATAATTGTTGTCTCATCATGGGTCAGCTCTCCACCTTTGCCAACCTAATAAAGGTCCAACAAAAGGATCGTAAATCTGAAAGTTATGATGAATGAAAGAAGGCATTGCACTTCAAAAGGCAAAGACACATCAAGAATTTTACAATTCAAAATGAGAGAAGTTAGAAAGTACAACAGTGATTAATTAATGGTCAAAAACAAATATTTATTTGATAAACAAAAACAACCAAGATAATAACTAGTTATAGAAACAAGCAAATTAAACAACTATAGGGAAAAGCTTGGATGCAAACCTCGTTTCCATGCAAATCTACTAGGGTTTTCAACTCGGCTCTTCGAAAAGTGTTATATGTCCATGACCCAACAGAAAGTCTAACAGCTGGAAAAAAATAGAGAAGGTCAGCCACAAGAGCAATCTGCAGGAATTACATGCTTGGTTGTCTTTCTCACTGTCATAAAAGCATTACTAGCAACGTTCATCACCTTGCTTATTGGGTAGGCAACAGGAAAACATGTCCAAACAAGAACTCGAACGAATGGAGCTACCTTTACACCAATTGCCAAACCATATCGAGAACAAACAGATTGTGGTATTATCTGCACAAACAGTTAAATTGCAATTAGGATTTAGGGCATTCAAAGAACTTGATTCCTTTTTTAACAGCTATAAGTAATTTCACTTTCTAAGAGCAAGTCTAAAGCCATAATGGTCGGAAAACAATTTTATAAACCAACGGTTGCAACCTTCTGGGAAAAAGCTGCTCAGCCAAAAGTTTAGCAAATAATATCCGAGTACCATATCAAATTTTCATATCACAACTAATCAGTGTTTAACAAGGATTTCTAGCTCTACCGAGTTAAAAAACGCTTCAAATAAAATAATCCAATGTGGATACTCACCTCACCAAACAGAAGAATCAAGGTCACTGAAATCAAGATAGCACCCCAAGCTGTGCTGAGAAACGGAGGAGAAAGGGAAAGAGACGGAGATTTGAGAAGGAGAAGCATAACTATGAACCAAAATGCACACTGAAACTTTGTGTGGAGTTATGGAAAAGGCACCCGGTACTCTCACTGCCCCTGCCATTTCTAATAGACTTCCACAAAATCTATGATGCTGCCTGAGATACCAATCCATATTGCTCAAAATCAGCAACGCATTCTGAAAAACGCTAAACAAACTCTTCCTCCGTGCTGCCAGCATCTCAAAGTCTAAGCAGCGCCGTCTGAACCCACGATGCAAATTAGAATCAGGCTGTGCACAAACATATAAAAGCATCATCAGTAAAAGCAGATCAAGATAGATGACTTTCATGATAATTTTATGCATAAACAGCTAAACAAACTCGTCAAACTGAAACTAGTAAAAGAACAAACATGTTTAGAGTTTTCTACTTTTCTGCAACTCTTTCAAATATACATCATTTTTTACCTGAATTGAATATGGGGTGGATATGTGGTTTTCCATATAATCAGTTAGACTGCCAGACGTGAAGTTTGTCACATCATTTTCCTCCAAACTTTCATTGAAATGATTTATTTCGCTGAGCCCACCAGTTCCTTCAGTTTGAACTTGATAATCACCGATATCATCTTGTGGGAACTGCGAAACAAGAGTAGAACAAAATGTAGTACCAGGGTCCAATGATTTCTGAATTACACCCCTAAAAGCCTAAGAATCATTGGGGGAACTGAAAATCTATAGGTCAGATGTCTCAGGAATCAAACTCTCCCACTCAGATCCAATAGTTTCCCTTTTTCGCTCAATCTGGAAAGTGGCCGCTACTTCCACGCCATCAGATAAACCTTTTTCAGAGGACTCTTGAACTTCCTCTGATAAACCTTTTTGAGAGGCCTCTTGAACGAACGGAACAATTGCGCGAGATTTGAAGGTTGATTGAGAGACACAATTCATTTCGATTACACAAGGTGTTGGATCACAGCCAGGGCTACCGCAATCATATTTTAAGGTCTGTGGCAGCTCGATTGCAATCCTTGATGGTTCATTATCCATATCAAAAGAAACCTCACCCAGGGAAACTCCTGGATCAAAATTCTCCTGGACATCCACACCCGCCTCCTCGATCGTACTCACTTTAGTCCCATCTGCAGAAGACAACTTGGGTTTCGATGGATCTGTAGAGCTATACCACCAAGCAAATAAAAAAGAAAAGAAAAAAAGATTATAAGGCATGAAACTAAACAAAATCAAGAATGTATAATACTAGTTCATTACCATTTAAGGAACCTAGATTCCTTGTGAGAACTGATATGGGGCGAAGTGAAAATAGAGGGCAGTGATGCAAAACTAAGCGGGTTGAATGTCTGAGTTACATGCACGGATTTGACTGGCTTGATTGGGGAGAGGCTGTTGATATAGTTAAAGACTGGAGAATCCTGGGAAAAACACAATGTTAAAAGGCCAAAAATCTTCTTTCAAACATATTTTGATCCAAATCAAATGCTTATCCGACATCCAAAAGACCAAAAAATCTGCAACAAAGATGAATTCAAAAGCAGGGGAAGTGGCATATCTATGCTGTAACCCCTATCAAACACCACAACTAGAAGAAGAAGAAAACCAGAAATCAGAAGGCAAAACAAGTTTCAGAAAATAAAAAATGAATTCTACCTAGAGATCTAATTCACATAAAAGTAAACAAATTCACACCCCCAATTAGGCTAAGAACTAATAGAATGGACTTTTATAAAACAAAACCCAGAAATCATAAGGTAAAACAAGTTTCAGGGAAAATGAATTCTACCCAGAGATCTAATTCACATAAAAGTAAACAAATTCACGCCCCCAATTAGGCTAAGAACTAAAAGAATGGACTTTCAGGAAACAAAACCCAGCAAGATGAAGAACAACTCTCTCACCGAGACTAAAAACCAAACACATGCAGTGCATAATAAAGCAACCAAAAATAAAAACTAGAAAAAGGGCTTCCCTAGAAAAAGATCAAATAGTTGAAGAAAATTAGTACCTCAAACTTAGAGAGTGAAGAGCTGATCTGGGTCTTTTCTGGGGTATTCATCATTTCCAGAGGAAGAAAGAAACCCCTCACTCACTCACTCTCTATACTGTTGAAAATTTTACATCCCTTCTCTCTTTCGATCTACTTTAACTTCCACAAAATCTATGATGCTGCCTGAGATACCAATCCATATTGCTCAAAATCAACAACGCATTCTGAAAAACGCTCCTGACCATTCCCCAAAACATTTTTATTTTTTAGAAAGGGCAGCGGGAATGGAAAAATAGGTGAAGGGGAGAGAAGAAACATGGTTACAAGAAACAAATCAAATAACCAAAAACTAGTCTAGAGTCGAGAGGGAGGAGAGAAGATGAAACATTTTATTTTTTTAGAAAGGGGAGCGGGAATGGAAAAATAGGTGAAGGGGAAAATGAAATAGGGTTAAAGAGGCACCGGGTAGCAACTTTAAACTTGCGGCGTTTTAAAAAACAAACGCCACTAAAGTACAAGTCTAGCGGCATTTTTATAAAAACGCCACTAATATACGAGTCTATAGCGGCGTTTGTATAAAAACACCACTAATGTACGAGTCTATAGCGGTGTTTGTATAAAAACGCCACTAAAGTACAAGCCTATAGCGGCGTTTGTAAACACAAACGCCACAAAATTAGAGTCTATAGCGGCGTTTGTATAAAAACGCCACTAAAGTACTACTCTATCGCGACGTTTTGTATAAAAATACCGCTAAAGTCGAGTCTATAGCGGCGTTTGTATAAAAACGCTGCTAAAGTACAACTCTATTGTGGCGTTTTATATAAAAACGCCACTAAAGTACGATTCTATAACGGCGTTTGTATAAAAACGCTGCTAAAAGTTACCATTTTGTGGCGTTTGAAATATAAACGCCGCTATATGTTTAAAGTTAGTGGCGTTTACTCTTAAAACGCCGCTAAAAATGCCGCTGTAGAACATTTTTGTTGTAGTGCCACTTCCGCTTTCATATCTTTCTTTCTTATTCCATTTCTAGCCCACCTTATTTCCCTTTTAATTACCTACCTAACCATTTTATTTTGAGCCTATCTTGTTGCATAGGGTGTGCAAGTCCGGGTACCCAAAGTGTTGGGTACTCGAATCTTTGGATAATTGATTTCTCGACCTGTGTCCCGACCTGGATGTTGTGGGTACATGAATGAATATCCGATTTTTTTATTTTCAAATTATTAATTAAAAACACACACACAAATTTAAATGTATATATAATATTAATAATAATTAAATATATAATAATATATTATTAATAAATATATATATATAATAATATAATATTATTTTATATAAAAAAAATCTCTAACCGGGTACTCGGGTAACCGGAAAAATTCAATTTTATGACCCGGGCCCGACCCGGCCGGGTAAATGTTTTTAGAAAATAACCCAATTTTTAAGGTTTGGGTCGGCGGGTCAGGTATTTTACACACCCCTATTACTGCAGGTATACTTGCTTCATTCACTAGATCCACAATCGAGGCATTGCCTTTACATCATAGTGTTCCATGAAAGAGGCACTACAAGAAAACATATTTTTAGTGGTGTTTTTAGCCCTATAGCGACGTTTTTAAGCGCCGCTAAAAATTCTCTCGACGCTAGAAAGAGCGCCACAAAAAGCGCAGGTAGTATGAGTGCCACAACAGTTAGCGACATTTGCAAACAAAAAACGCCACCAAAGGTCAAGTTCTATAGCAACTTTTTTTAACAAACGTCGATAATTGTCGTGATATATATAGCTGAGTTTATTATCAAACGCCGCAAATTATCTTGTTTTTAGTGGCATTTATTTCCCCAAAAGCAGTTGTGATATTTAGTGGTGTTTTCTACCATAAACACCACTATTGACTATGTATAGTGACATTCTTATTGACAAACGCCGCAAAAGAGCATGACTTATAGTGACATTCTTTTACAAACGCTACTAAAATTAACTGATTAGGTAAATATTGTTTTTTTCTCTGTCTTACCAAATTTAATATCTCGTAGCGTTATCCAATAACAACACATTTCAAATTTAATTACAACACAAGTTAAGTAAAAATACTTAACAACAAAAATAAATCAAAGTTAATTTAAGCATTAAAGTGAAATGTAATGTAATTCAACACAAAGTAAAGATAATGTTAATAAATTTTCTTTTCATTAAAATACCAACAAAAAGTATCCACGAGAGCGAAGGCATTAATGAACAGTTGAAAGGAGAGAAAGATGGCAAAATAAGGAACATTTGGCATAATTGCACTCATCCCTACGATTTGTAAACCATGAGCTGGATCAGCCTTACCACTACTGGAACCTGAACTTTCTCCACTACTTCATTCCAGCGTGCCTTCACCAGCTGCATAACGAAGTTTTGTCAACAGAATCTCCAGTAGATAACCCCTACTCCGATCACCAACCAGTAGATTAATGGAAAAACATTCTTTCAGTTACACGCTACCAGTACCTCTGAAAATTGAGGGTTATTGGGTATTTCAGTAATCTGATTAGCATAGAAAACAGTAAACAATGAACCAACATAATTATCATGTTAGAGGTCTCCATGAAATAGACCAGAATAAGTTTAACCCCCCAATGCAGCATTTAGAGAGAAAAGAAAGTTTCGAAGGCATAAGCACGAAAGATAGACAGTCAGAGAAAAGCGAATACCTGCGATTCATTTCGTGTCAGAAGCTCCAAGTGACCAGTATGAATGACAATGAATTGTTTTTTTACCACTTATAGCCGATGTATAAGCATTTGAAAAAGGACCCTGTCTAACATACATATCAAGAGGTTCAATATTCAATATTTCCGCAGCTTCAATCATCACTTTATGAAGTTAAGGAAGTCAACATGCTTTAGAACCAAAATGGGATGCGAACAATATTAAGACTTGAAGAAACTAATTTTTTATCTATTTGTTTTTTATTTTTAATATTATTATTAATATTATTATTATTATTATTATTATTATTTTATACTATTTTATTTATTTTATTATTATTATATTATTATTATTATTATTATTACAAACAGGCCCAAAAACGGAGCCCAATACCCGAAGGCCTGTTTTACACCCAAACTGACCCAAACAGACGGCCCAAACCCACCAGAAACCCTAAAACCCAACTAGGGTTTCCATCTAAGCTTCCAGCTGCCTCTCCTTGTCAGCCGTTGGATCTAAGTTAGATCCAACGGTCCAGATGATCCCAACAACAAACCCTAGGGTATTATAACAATAGGGACACGCGGTCGCCGCCTCTGTTGCCGCCAATCTACGCTGTTCCATGCCACTCTACATACTGCCACGACGCCAACAAGAGCCTCTAGAGGAAATCAACACCAGCCGTCCACGTTGTGACCTTAGGGTGAGTCACCACTATGGGTTCAGTGACTCACCGAGGGGTGTTCTTTTACCTGGTCCGAGGTAAGGTTCGTGGTTGTTATAAAGCCACCGAACGTGCGAGACAGAGAACAACGGAGAGAAACAAAAAAAAAACAACCAACAACAACCATTCGAAAAGAAAAAAAAAAGAAAAAGAAGAAAACACTTACCATAGTCGTCGGAGTCTTCACGTGAAACCGGAAAAACAAAGCCATCGAAGGTAAAAAACCTTCGATTTTTTTTAGATCTAGGGTGATTTAGGGATTTTTATGTAAAAGAGAGGCCATATTTGAGATAAGAAAAAACCAGGCTTCGATTTGGGTAAAAAAAAATATTTCTAGCCACCATGTACGGTGGCCGGCGACGGAGGTTTGCGGTGGCAGACGGCTTCCAGCCGATGAACGGATTCCCTCCGGTGAGGGAATGCTAGAGAGAGGGCGAGAGAGTTTTAAAACTCTCTCAGTTAGAGAGAGAATTGAAAGAAGCGAATGAAAAAATTTGGCCTTAAGGCCGGCTATAATAGGGCTTAAATACCCTCACCAAAACGACGTAGTTTTGGTGAGGGCCTTTGTGTGATTTCGCTTATGGGTTAATTATACCCAATGCCATCCCATATTTGTAACTTTACATCATAGTCACTGAAATTAAATTTAAATCCTTTTAATTCGATTTCTTAATTTTAATTTTATTTATTTTAATCCTTTACATAAAATAATAAATATTTTAGGTAAAACAACAAATTTAGTCCTCTAATTTTAATAATTAATATTTTAACCCCAAATAACATGTTTTAATTTAATTTAATTTGATGTTCGAATTTGATATAATTTTATTTTAGTCACTAAATTAATAAATTGGTAAAATAACAT